AAATCTTTTATTGACATGTATTGGTTTTAACTCGCTGTATTTTTACATTTTACTTTAATTTACGTTCATTGTTTTTACCAGTTGTTTGGCGCAGATAGCCTTGCTGCTTTGCACCATAAAGCACCAAACCAACCAACCATCTACAGTATCTTACCCTTAATTTCCAATTCTGTGTGAGCTTCTTCTTTCAACTCTCTAACTTTACACATTATGTACTTTCTCCAAATAAAATTGAAGTCAATTTTCAATTGCTTTTGCAGTGTTAACTTGTGTTTCAAGTTCAAGAACACTTCAGCTGTTGCTAGTTTCAAACTGTATTTAATATTTTGAAAGCTATGCAGAACAATGTTATTAGCAAGTGTTGCAACATACTCTTAACTTTCTAAGTTAGTTTAGGGCAAAATGTAAGTTCTTACACAAAAAAATGCTTCACCTCATTTACATTATTAATAGATATTAGAGTTATATTTTGATTCAAAATACTTTTTAATATGTCACTGAAAGTTGTAAGTGCTTTTAGTATAATAAAATTTAAAGGGCCATTTGTATAAATATTGATATGTGTATATACATATAATCAAGAGTACATACTGAAATTACAGTGTACATTATTTTGGCTGTGTAGCAGGAATTAAAATAAGAAGTGAAATTCATATAATAGCTACAAACTTTTTAAAATTAGAACAAGACATGATCAAAATTACACATCCCAATGACATTTACAAGTGAATATTGGAGGTAGAGGTCATTATATTTTTGAAGTGAATATTGGAGGTATATGTCATGATCTTTTGATATTTAGTATTGGAGAAAGAGGTCATGCTCTTTTTTAAGTATTAGGAATAGAAGTCATGTCTTTTTAAAGTGAGTAAGGCAGAAATCATGTTGTAAAGTATACTCAAGTATAGATAATTTGAACAGTTACTAAATGAAAAATTCTTACATTTTGATTAGTTTTTTTCTTTTTTTCAGGCTCCAGAAGTAATTATGTCAATTAAATATGATGCCAAAGCTGATTTGTGGAGTATAGGAACTATAATTTTCCAGGGATTTACTGGAAGGGCACCTTTTCAGGTAAGTGGATAACTTGTATTACTACACAAAACTCCCTATAAATTTAACTGTCCATTAAATTTTTGACTTTCATATCTGAGAATTGTTATCACTGGGAAGATATAGTTTCTGTTAGGTTATTATTTTCTATTAAGAGTTTTGTATCTAAATGTATTTTTACACTGTTTAATTAAAAGTTTGTAGTTTCAAGTACATAAGTATAAAATGGAAAAATTGCATTGGGTTAAATTTCAAAAGAAGAATTATCTTCAAGAAGAAAGATTCCATATATATATATATATAAATATACTTCAAGAAGCCATTTGACTTGTGGTCTGATCATAATTGATATTTTGCAGTGGGACATGAGATATTTTGAAACAAAGACTTTCATAGGCTTTAAGCAAAAGCAGATTGTTTTTTGTACTACCTAGCACCCACCTTGTAATGAAGTTTTTGACTCCAAGCAAATATTACATAATGCTTAATAAAATTCTATGAGATCTTCATCGGTGTGTGTGTGTGGGCATATACTGTGTTGGTGTGTAAAAAATTTATAATTCTAAATGTGTATAACTGTGTATAATTCTAAATGAACCTAGTTAGAATATTGTCTTCATATGTATAGTTTACAACTACAACTTTCAGGAGTATTTCAGAAATAATTAACTTGTGTTATTAATTTTTCATGTATGCTTAACTACAATTCATCATAATCATCAGTCCCTTGATTTGTGTTGGAAAAACTAATCTGGATGCCTCAAGAGGTGCTATCTTTCTTTCTGTTTTTGAATACCTAGTTGCTCATGTACTTACATTATATTGTCCTGTTTTTTGTAGCCAGCATCTTCTTTCCTTTTGCCTTCAATTTTTTTCTTGCGTGATGGTGTTAGCCAAATTGTTGGTATGTGTCACATGACCACCCCTGTTGAGTTTCCTTCTTTTTATGATAGGAAAAACAGGTTTATGGTCTCCATTGGCAGTTTTTAATTCTTGGCAGACACTCGTTGGTTTTATGAGCCATGTGTGTAGCACAAGCAGCAGAGTGAGTTCTGACCTTTAAATTGATAATTCATTCACTAATTAAAAAATCATATAGTCTTATCACACCTTTCTTATCAAACAAAATGTTGGAAGCCTTTACATCTTTGATATAACAATCTGACTCAGTTATTTGAAGGCTTTTACTCTTTTTTGAATAAATGTCCGAACAATTGGATTAGAAGATGTATGAGAACTTTCTTCAGTAGAAACTTGGCTCAGAACTAAGGAACTTGTTTATAGTATTTTATGAACCATTTTATCACCAGTTAAGTTACACCACATATAAAAAATATACACAATTAGGAAAAGCATGTAACTTTTAATGGTAATTTTTTTATTTTGAACCAAATATCTTACTGTTAAACATTTATTTTGTGATGTTAATGAAGATCACTAGGCTTTGTTCATGAATATATCAAGTATTTTTTTTTTACTAGTCTGCATGCAAAGTGATTTTCATGTTAAGATTAAAAATACTTTTCTTCATCTCAAAAATCTCAAATTTCATTTGCGTAATCTCTAAAACCTCTTAGATACATTTCAAATCTTTGTTTTAGTAAAACTTTATATTTTATCAGTTATTTTCTCTACCATAATTCTATAAAAGGTTGGTCAATTTAATCGACCCCCAAAAAATTTTAAAAATCTAAATTTTTTTTTTCTTTCTAGAGTGACTTCAAATTGTAACTTGAAACTACATTCATTTAACCTAAGTAGCATTAAACTCGTAACAGTATACATCTGTTTATTTTTAAATTTTTTTGTTTTATTGCCTTTTGAACCATGTCTAACTTCTATTTATGCTATTATAAGTTGTAAATCGCTTGGGAAGTTAGAGTTCACATTACACTATTGAATTACATTACCCACAAGCTGTTTGTGTGCCTCGTGAAACATTATTATATTATTATTTATTTTACCTAATCTAACTTTAACTAACCTAAAGAGATCCCTTTACATTTTACTTACTTTTATAATAATAAATAAAAAACACAGGAAAAACAATAAATTAAGTACTTACCTGGGTCTTCTTTTTTTTTGCTGTCAACTTTTGATGACATTTAACCTTACTTTTTTATATACTAATGGTAGTAATGTACTAGATAATTGTTATTTAATTAAATTATGCACCTAAGAACATAGAATAATAACATGCAAAAAGCAGACAATTTTCCCTAACTATAACAGTTTTTCTGGCTTTCTAACTATGAAACAAAAACTGTTACAAATTTATCCAAGCTATTTGATATCTTTCCTGTGGGAATGAAGCTCGTAGTAACTGAGAAATTGATAATTCTCTGTTCAGAAAACAACATAATATAATACATCATTTGATAGATGAAAACCTTGGCTTTCTGTTGGTTAAACAGATTATTTTATTAAGTGTAAGCGAGAACTATTAACAAATCGTGAAAGAGAGAATGTGACAGATGGGTGGTAAAGGGGTCTGATTTTCTATTTGATAGCTCAGTAACCAAACAAGATTGAAGGCTTTAAAAATTATGGTTTGTCTGAGCAATGAAGACTTTATAATGAATAATTTACTTTAAATTTCATACTTATTGGAGGGGTGTGGAATAAAATAGAGAAGAGGGGATGCATAGAGAAAATGTCACATTTCTCACACTAGGGGAAATTCAGGATTTTTTAAATATTGCCTTATAAAATTAAGAACTTAAAACTTGTATGCTATTAAAATATGGATTATTAGCCATGTTTTTATGCTGTATTTATTGGTATACCATAAAAAGAAAGCTACTAATTGGTATAACATAAACAAAAAGTAGTTTAATTAAAATTTGAATGTAAGCTACTAAAACCTCGTGACATGCACTGTAAAGGATGGTCAGGGTGATAGGGTTAAAAGAGTTTTTAGCTGTGTCTAACATCACTAATTATTAAATAAAAGGTTGAAGGTTGGGAGTTTGGTAGAAGTTTAGGGTGGCTCATTTCTACTATAAGAATAGCATTTTCTTTCTTTTTTATAATATCAAATAAAAGGGTGGAGGTTGGGAGTTTTACATTGTAGAATTTTTAGGATAGTTTAATTCTATGTTAAGCTTATTTATAAGTATTAAGGGTAACTGCCTTCCCATAAGTGGCTGCAGACAGTGAAAAGAAGTTAGAGTTCAGACATTGTGGGTTCAAGTACTCAACTCCTGACCCTTAACTTATTCTCCCCAGTTGGTGGTGAGTTTGGCTTTGGTATTGTGTTTTTGTCTGATAGATGGAATATCCCCAACACATCTGGGTGTTATGACCACAGGTATTATCCATTATAACTTAAGGATGACAATGACGAATGATAATGGAGGAATAAGTTGGAATTTTAGCTTCATTATATTGTGTTTGGTTTGTGTGTGTTTATATATCTATATATAATTTGTTTAATTTTAACAGGCACAAACGCCTCAAGCTCTGAAACAATATTACGAGAAAAATCCCAACCTCGTACCCAAGTGAGTACTGACAGAAGTTATGTAATATTGAAATACTATTTGATCTAGAAATGTTATTCTGATTTTCATATGACTTTATCAAGATTTTCTGAAACACCTTTTTGATCAGATTTGTGTTTCAACTTTGTTGACTTCATTCTAATAAATATCTTATTTTTTCTCTAAGTTTGCCATATTTTTGATCATAGTACTTTGTTTATGACTGATATCTTTTGTATTTAAATCATACTTTAATGGCCTGAGCCAGTACAGCATCCAATGTTAATGTTGTGCATCTACCTAATAAAATACTTTTTCTGTTGTAAGGTAGAATGAATACTATTTTAATATTTTCCTTAGAATACCCACAGGAATGTCACCAGAATTGGCTGACCTTCTTCTAAGACTGCTGAAGAGAAATGCAAAAGACAGAATGGATTTTGGTAGGGTGTAACATTTCTATATATATATATATATGTACAGATAATCAAATTGTTTTGAAATGTTTTAGATTTTAAATATTTAATCCAGCTATATTGCCACCTGATGAAAACCATATTACATTCCCTTTTGTTCACTTTTATGAAGGAATTGTGATGAAGAGTTTTTGATCATTCTTATAAGTATTTTTAAGTAAGAAGCTAAGTAAGAATAACTTAAATGCTTAGCTTACTGACTAACACCTGATGACTTGTGTAAAACTATTTTGTGGCCAAGGTTTCATTATATTTTTCAAGTTCGAAAATTATGTAACTAAAACTCTGTCTATGGCTTGTTGAGTTGAGTTTATTATAGTTTTGAGCTTCATAAAAATAATTTACAGATAATGTAATTCAGTAATATTTTTAATTTTAATAATTTGTAGAAAAACTTTACTGCTTCATTTTAAGTTGTGAAATGCATATTTTAAAATATTTTACTGTGTGTAAACATAATTAGTTGCTTATCCAAATATTGTTTGTGTTTTTGGTATATTTTTATTCTTTGACTGGCAAATTAATATTATGCTACAAAATATTTTACTGTGTAAATATGGTTAGTTGTGTTAACAGATTCTGCTTGTATTTTTGGTATGTTTTTACTACTTGACTGGCAAGTAAACTTGATCTTCGAGGTTGATTGAAAAATAAAATTCTAAACTGTAGCTAAGCCACAAACAGCAATGATGTATGTGAGTATGTTGGCAGTTAGCAGCAATGAATTTCTTTGACAGAAATTTTTTGTATAAAATCCTAGTTATTGAGATACCATTACTTATTTTTTTAATAGTTAAACTAGTTTGAAGAATATTAGGTATGTATTGGCCTGGCATGGCCAGGTGGTTAGGGTGCTCGACTCGCAATCTGTGGGTTGCGGGTTCAAATCCCTGTCACACCAAACATGCTCGCCCTTTCAGCCATGGGTTATTATAATGTGATGGTCAATCCCACTATTTGTTGGTAAAAGAGTAGCCCAAGAGTTGGTGGTGGGTGGTGATGACTAGCTTTCCCTCTAGTCTTACACTGCTAAATTAGGGACGGCTAGTGCAGATAGCCCTCATGTAACTTTGTGCGAAATTCAAAACAAACAATGTATATGTTTGTGCCAAACAGGTGTACATAAGAATATTTTTGGTATAATATAAATATTTGTGAGTAATGGTGGATAATATGATAAGTTTTGATTACTATATTTATGAGCTGCTAAAATTTTTTTATACACATAGTAAGAATAGTTTTGGCAATCTTGAAGTTAAACTTCTGTCAGTAATAGGCTGTCTGCAAATGTATTTAAATAACATGAAGTAAAATTTAAAAAAATTAAATCAAATTTTATAATATTAAATCAAATTTAGATGAATTTTGTCAGGTTGTGCACTATCTACCAAATTATTAATACTAAACTAGGCTTAAGTTTGTTTGTTCTGTTTATTATTATTATTATTAAAGGTGCTTTCTTTAATCTGCATTGACTGGAAAAAGAAAAAGTGGTAGTGGGGGTAAAAAAGAGGGAAGAAGAATTGAAAAGGGGGCAAACATTAAATAATTAAGTAAAATAAACAGGTAAATTATGTGTGTGTGTGTGTGTGTGCATGCAGACACACACACATAAAATAGTAATAGGCTGTCAACTTTTGTGTGGTAGATTTTACATCTAGGGAAGAGGATTAACAGGTTGACTCTAACTGTTTACCTTCTTAAGCAGAGAGAAACATCAGATGTGTTTGATCTGGTTACAAGGCCATTCTGGAGGTTAGGTATTGAACCCAATGGATGGTACCAGCAGCTCCATCTCTGGTAGCCCTAGGGTGGTAAGGTTCCTCTCCACCCTTTCCTATCAGCAGCATTATGGACATTAAACTTTAAGCTGACATGTATTAAACTGTGCAATGACAAATGTCTCAAGGCACAAACACGAGAGCGAAGAAGAAGGAAGACATGAAGGTACTTAAAAGGAGGAAGATGAATTACAAATGTGTTCAGATAATACCTTGGAATGCTTGTAGCCACAAAATGAAAGAGTGACCATGGAAAAAAACAATGTCATAATGAAGCAAGAAACCTTGGCTGCCGAGGTTATTCCGGGCCTGGTGGTAATCATGTACATACAGACCCACATAATATAAGTTAACTATAAAATGCAACTTGCTAAGCCTTTTTCATGGCAAAGTTTTTAATGCACTCTGAAAAGTCAATTTGTATGGGCCCCCCTGATGATACTGGGCCTGGGATTAATCCCCCTCCTTATCGGTGGTCCTGCAAGAAACAAAGCTACGGGAGAAAATATCATATTGCAGAAACATCAGAATATTTTTTTGAACTTTTTATGGTGGATGGAAATGTCAGTTGAGGACTTCTTATCCTTGTAGATATTAACACTGAATATTGCCAAGTACCTATTCTTAGAAATATAGTGGGAGCAGAGGTTCTGGTAATCAATCTGAAGATTGTTGGTACAGAATTCAGTCTACTCAATTTGTATATCCACAGTGACATAATGACAGTGGAAAAGAAATGGATTAGTTTGCTAAATCCTCTCATAAACATGGGCTAAAGAGTCATCATTACAAGCAACTTTAATGCCCTTAACTTTATCTTCCTGGACACTGAAAGAAATGTGAATGGAAGATCATTTGAAGAAGTGCTGCAAAATATCTTCTGTATTCTAGCTAATAATGACATTCACACAGTCTCACTTCACTTTTTTCACTTTTACTTTCACTTACTTTACTTACTGTATCTGCATGTATTTATAACACACGACAGAAAAATCTAAAAATATCTAGCCCTCTAGTAACAACAATATTAAAAATGAGAAAACTTAGAAGCTTTGAGTATGATGATGTCAACAATATTATGAAAGTCTGGTACAATTATTAAACTGCATACACAATGTACAACTCGTACAGAGTTATGTAACGAAACTTGTCATAAGTATCACTTTTAAAAGAATTAACTTTTAACATTCTTGTTATGAAAAATAAATAATTGTTAAATATCGAAATAAACTAAATAAAAACTCTTAAACTAAACAAGCTTGTATATCCAAAAATAAGCCCTTCTTTAAAAAAAATGTTTACAATAATTTTTTTTTACACTATATACAAAGACTGTTTTTAGTTCATACACAAAGTATCCTCATATTGTTTGCACCACATATGACATGTGCCATGTCCATCTGTGTCTCAGTAGCTGCACCCATTTAGTCTTTTTCCCTCTTGAAGTACCTTTTCAACAGATTGGTGTGGTAGATCTTGGTCTTCCCATCCACTTTCACCTTATATTCCAATATGTTGACTACTTCCTTCAATTCAAAAGGTCCTTTCCACTGCAAGGTGAGTTTGTTGTTGTCTGTAGATAACAGAACCTTCTGTCTAACCTTAAAAATGTTGATCCAGGGAATTTTTGTTATAGAAATGCTCTTGACTGCCTTTTATATGTTTAGTTTCCCCAGTAGAATTGCTTTGATAAATCTGGTACAGTACTCCTTTCTAGCCCTCTGTTTTGTAAGTCTCTTTCCCTTGTGTCTTGTGCTTAACCTTCTTTTGGGCGCTGTCTCAAAGTTTCTGTTCCTATAGACCTACATTCAGGATGTCACTTTTTGATAATTGCATGGGCTTGATGTCTTGCTTTATAATCTTCCCTTGAGCTCTTGTAGTGACTTCACATACTTCATCCATATTCTTTCTGTTTGGTTCCTTCAAACCTTTACTGCTTGGTATATTTCCAATCACCAAGTCATAGATTGGTGCTTTCATACATGTGGCTTCAAGATATTTCACATAGTATGGAGTATACCTCTTTAATTGTGCTATGGGAAACTCTCTCACTGTCCCATTAGTCAGTGCACACATACATACCTTGCCATCATCAGATGATCAGATCCTAGACTGGTTCTTACTGCTGCACCCAATGTGTCATGGGACTTTCACTTTCTTCTTCCCGACATAACCTTCGCCTTCTGGCATACTGTGGTTTGTTGTCACCTCTTCATGTTTGTCACATGCTTCGATCGCTACTGGCACTGTTGATCCATCTGCTAAGTTGAGCTGACCATCAGTCATGCACTATTTAATAATGGAGATAGCACTTCCTTCTTGTGATGATTCTGTTGTGTTGTTTCTATTCTGTTTTTTTCTGGCTGCAGTATCCATGATGGCAGTCACTTTTTTCTTGTTTCTTGCCAGCACCATCTTTGTAGGTAGCTCCCGCTGCTTTATGTTCATATTTCTGCTGTTGCTTGTTGGTGATAGACTTGTACTTTATTGCAATATGCCCTATTTTATAACAAATGTAGGATCTCTTCTCCCTTTTGTCTGTTGAGTTCTTGTCACCTTTGGTGGTATACTGTATACTCCCAGTTTCAACTTTAACTGGTTATACTTGAACTTGCCAGTTATACTCCCTCCATGGGCTTCCATATACTGTTCTGCCAGCTTGATCATCTCATCCATGTGTTTTGGTTCTCTTTCCTTTAGGAACAGTGACATGCCAGTGGAGCAGGTGATCATGAACTGTTCACATATTAGTAGATCTGCCAGTCCTTCAAAACCATTTCACACTTATCAGTTCATCTTATAAAGTATCACTTTAGATGTGCCACAAACTGAAATACAGTTTCTCTAATGTCAGGTTTAACTGGTAAGTTCATAGCATTTCAGAAAGGCCACTTTTAACTTGTTATAGTCTGTGGGATATTTTGATGTCATGCTTGCATATACTTGTAGGCCTTTTCCTGTGAGAATGGGCTGAGACAGACTGCCTAGTCACCTTTGTTCTAGTTTTGACTTTGGGGGAATCTTTCATATCTCTCCAGGAAAGCATCCATGTCGTCTTTCTATTCATCAAATTTGGGTAGCTTAGGTCGGTTGGCCCTGACCCCATTATCATTCTTTGATCTTTTCTTTTTCTGTTGAGTGAGCTTGGGGATCTCAATTTGTGCTCTTATTCTCTCTATTTTCTTTCTTTATTTATTTTTCTTCTTTCAGTCTTTATTCCTCTCTTTCTAGTTCTTGTTGTTATTTAACAAACAATCATAGTTTTCCATCTTTGAACCCAAGATGCTCTCCTTTCTCTATCCATTTATCAAAAGTATTCAACGTGGTTAGATAACATGATTGTAATCTCTACACCATTTTTGCCACCACTACAGTTGTGCATATATAGGCTAATACTGTTTATCACTATAATCCTGGCTGGCTCCAAATGTCAGGATTTTACATGGGCCAGGATTTTTTTACAGTAGATGTCTGTGACTTGTTGGTGATAAGTTTCTGTCATTAAGTGTTGTCAGTAGTAAAAGTTGTGTAGGGTGTGATGTTATTAGATATAATGTCTGTCAGACAGTATAGTCAAGTAGTAAAAGTTGTGTAACTGTAATTTTCATAAAGGAACCATCTTTCAGAAGGTAGTCAGTAGTAAAAGTTTAGTAAGGTGTGCTATTAATAGATGAACTGTCTGTCAGAAGGTAATCAGTAGTAAAAGTTATGGATGTGATGTTATTAGTGGAATTGTAGGGCAGAGTATAATTCTGTAGTAAAGGCTTTGTTATTAGATTAATTGTCATTCAATATCAAAATTGACATTTAAGCATTAAGGCTTTATTGAAACATGTACTTTGTTTAACATTTGAAGTAAAAGTTTTGTCAGGATTAAAGTCATAGGGACAGTTTGGGTAAAGTATAATTTTATGAGGTATACTGTCAGTTGGTAGTGGCAATGATAAAAGTTGTGTAGGGTGTACATGTGATGTTATTTGTTAAATGACAGTTAAGACTGAAGTCATTAATAAAGGTTGTTTAAGTGTAATCCTTCTATGTGAACCATATCAGGATTAAGATCTGTTGAAAGGTGTAATGTTGTTTTAAAGATTATGTTTGAAGTTCAGAGTTATAGTGAACACAGTGGTAGGAGATGAGCTACAGCTTATCTCAAGTTTTAACATTGTAAGTTTTTGTTTGAGTAAATTGGGTAAGTACATTTTAGTCTGCTAGCCAGAACTTGGGGAATTTAAGTAAAAGCATTGGTAAACTGTGTTTAGTTTTAGAACAATCTTTATAAATATGGTAGATGCAAGTTAATGAGGACAGTCTTTTAAATCTTAAAGGAAATATGAAAGTCTACTGGGTACACAGAATAGTGAATTTTATTTTAATCAAAAGAGGCAGTTATATAAAAAGCAATGTTTGAAGTAAATATTAAAGTGTTTTTATGTTTAAAATCAGTTGTTAATTTATATATAAGAAGTTTTTAATGTTACATGGATATCAAGAATAATCTTCTACTTTTGTGTTATCTTTTCTAGATGAATTCTTTTCTCATCCTTTTTTGAAGCCACCCACAAAAAAAAGTAAGATGTTCAAAGAATTTGGTGTTTATAAGAATAGACAATTTTTAAATTTAAGTATTATATGCTGTTATATGTTGACAGTATATGAGTTTTATAATTTATTACAGGAGTTGTAGTTGGATTTTAAATATCGCAAACACATAACATTCTGAAAAATGTGTATAGTGTATGATGTTATATATAGTAATTGTTAACTAAGAAATATTTTAAAATTGATACTTGTAATTTTCTAACGTATAGTTAGTGTAATTTGTTTCGACTTTCATTTCTGCACAGCTCCAAGGAGTCTCATACATAAATAACAAGCTAATCAGATTTTTCAGAATTTTTCTGCCCATTCCAAAGTATAGGTTTATGTTTGTTAAGAGTCTATCATCCTTTTGGAATTTAATTATCCATGTCTTGTTTTTTCATGTGATTTTCATTTTTGTTGGTGATTTCACTACTATAGACTGAGGAAGCACAACCTTGGAAATATCTATAGGTAACATTTAGATACAATTGAATATAGTAGGTTATAAACTATCTAAACCATTATAGAGTAAATAAAGTGGTTTGAGCAGTAATTTATGACTTTATGAATAAGTAACCAAACTGAAATCCTGCAGTGATGAACAACAGAATCTAATGGGAAGTGTACAAGACTTAAGAACAAACCACAGATCTGGAATTTTTTATAGTCTCTTTAGACATTCTTTTCATTCTTAAAAATTCTTTCATGACAAGACATTAGGTAGGTTGATATAATACTGAACTTTCTACTTGACTATAGGAAAATATGTGTTCATAAAACATATTAGGTTGAGGCAAGTACTGGGCACCCTAATTAACTATACTAGAATAAAATATGCATATTTGCAAAATGCACACCCTCCACTTTTTTGTGCATGAAATATGCAGGATTTTTGCTAAAGTGTAACTTCTGTTATTAGTAATTAGTTGTATTACTTAAGTGAACTGTATTGAAACTAAAGGACATGTTCTGGAGAGGTTCTAAAGAAATAACATTATAGTTGCTACATATGTCACAAGTTTATTAATTCCACAGTTGAAATCTAAAATGTTACCAGATAATGTATTTAACCCATTGACTGCAGTTGCTCTAAATGAGTGTGAATTTTTGCAAGCCATAAACCATATACAGCATACTCTCATTCAACTGCCATAGGCGGACTGTATGCCATACAGCGAGTTGGCAGTCAATAGGTTAAAAAATCTGCATGTTATATATTATTGGAAATCTTTGAAATTACACTAGCTTGAACACCCATGTGAAATATGATAGTAGAGTACATTAGCTCTATAGGAAGTAGCTAATAGGCTTTTGCTGTTATTTATTGCTTTTTATGCAAAGATTACTGATTTGGTAATACAAAGTAGGACAATAAATCCATAAAATAAAAATAAAACAGATGTTAAAAAGATTAACAGGTGAAAGTGTTAATAAAAATTATTTGGAAGGTTCTATCAATATTGCAGTTGGTGAAGAGGAGAATTGGCATTATTCATTTTATTTCATGTTTTTAAACTTTTCATTTCACTATATCTTGATGTTTTCTCTACAGTTAGTGTTGGGGCAGAGTAAATAAGAGATAAAAGATCAAATTTTAACCATTAAAAAAAAACAACTGATATTCACTAAGAGGTTTTGCAAATGAAAGTTGTAGCTTAAGATCAAAAGAAGTATTTTTATTCTTAGCATAAAAATCATCTTTCTCTCAGTGTGGTGTGGTAAAGGCTTTGGAAATTCACAGCCATATCTTTAGTAGAAATACTGCATTAACTCTTTCCATATGGGCATCGGTTTCTGCAAATGTCACAAGGCTTTACCAAGTTAGATTCAAAATTTGATTAAATTAGTTTATAATCATTAAATTACTCATTATAATATTGTTATTACTCAGGCAAAGCATAATTTTTATAGCCTTCAACCTTATTTTGTTACGGAGCCATAAACTAGAAAAATCACCCTCCTTTCTTCAGAACCACCTGTCATATCCTCTATTTCAGAAATTACCAATAGTTTGCTCTGATGTTTAATACTATATTATTCATAACCAATAGAAAATAGAAAAACCAAAGTTTTAATCTATTAAATAATGTATAATATTGTTTTCAGTACAGAGACTTGTCTATTTTGCTTTCAGTTTGAACTTTGTTCTCATGAGAAATACATCGACAAGCTTAGCTGAATTTTTTAATGGCTCTTATTGCATAGTTAGAAGGCCAGAAAAAATGATAATTATAGGACATTGTCTGCTTTTGGCATCTTATTATTCTGTGTTCTTTGACGTATTATTTATTCAAATAAAAACATTATCTAGTGCAGTATTACTATTAGAATAAAAAGTAGGGTTAAATTTAATTGACAGTCAACAGCAGAAAAAAGAAAAGAAGATCTAGATAAGTACAAAACTTCTTGTTTTTCATGTGTATTTTTCATTATTATAAAGATAGCTAAAATCTAAAAATTAGAAACTTTTTAAGTTAGATAAGGTTTGATTAGGTAAAATAAAGAAGAAAAAAAACTCTTTCATGAGGTATTCTCATGAGCATCTCACCATTAGCCTGTGCCTTAAGTAACATAATTTGAGAGGGTAACATGAGCTACATGTTTGTCAAGTAATCTACAACTTGTATGGTGGGATTATTAGTTAGACACACTTCAAGTGTAACAAAATTTAAGTAGAAACAGATGTATATCGTTATGAGTTTAAAGCTATTTAATATAAACAAATGTAGTTTCATGTTACAATTTGAAGTCATTCTAGAAAGAAAAAAGGTAATTTATATTTCATATTTTTTTATGATGTTTATGAGGTCAGTCAAATTGACTAACCTCTTATAGAGTTAGGGGTGAAAAAATAACAGATTAAGTATAAAGTTTTACTGAGAAAACTTTGGAAATTTATTTAGGAGGTTTTAGAGATGACACAAATGAGATTTGAGATATATCATATGAAGAAAAGCATTTTTAATCTTAACATGAAAATCACTTTTCACTTGGAGCAGTCAAGACTTTGATTCCATGTAGTAATGGAGAAATATTTAATGAAAATACTTCACCGAAAATTTTGATTTTTTGTCTACAAAAGACTTAAAGCTTATTGAAAGCTTACAAAATTTCAGTAAGATAAACAAAACAGATTAGAAGTTATAGTATGGAAATTATAAAGGTCAATTTAGAGACAGGAACTCGGCCAATTCAACTGAACCTGAAGCAAAAGTATTAAAAAATTTTATTTTTTTGTGCACAACACACTTTTAAAGTATTCTAAAAGCTTGCCAAGTTTCATGAAAATACCCTCAACAAATTCAAAGTTATAGGTTGTATGGTTTTGAACTTTCAAAGTTCTTCAATTTGACAAACTGCATTCTTATAAAGTTCAGACCTGCGCATTAAACTATTTCTCTGCTACTACACTTAGTAGATGGAATACAATTAAGAACAGCATAAAAACATCACTCAGAGAAATAATTCTCATTAAGAACAAGAAAAATAAATGCAAATGGATGACTGATGAGATACTGAAGAAGATGGAATTGAGAAACGAATACAAGAATACTGACAGATATGAATCTATAAATAGAGAAATAACAACTGAATGCAGAAAAGCTAAAGAAAACTGGCTGAAAGACCAGTTTCAGGAGATTGAGAAACTTGAAAGTACATAGATCCAAAGAAATGTATGATAACATAAGAATAGACACTGGATGGATAAAAGACAAGAATGGGAATATCCTCTTTGATCAACAAGAGATTTCAGAAAGATGGGTAGAATTCATAATGGATGATGATGATGAGAGAGAACCAATTCCAGACTTTTGAGCAATGACTGGACAAACCATCTTCAAAGATAAAGTGCAGAAAGTCATAAACATAATGAAAAATAGAAATGCAACTGGACCAGATGATTTGTCAGCAGAAATGTTGAAAGTGTTAAATAATTACAACCTTAATACTATAACTGACTTCTGTAATATCATAACACTGGATACATCCTAACCAAAATGAAACAATCTATATTTGTTCCACTACCAAAAAAAACAAAGCACAGAAATGTACAAACTTCAGAATAATCACTATAATGAGTCACATCACGAAACTACTCTTGAAAGTAATACAGCAGTGAATAGCAACCAAAATAGACCAAGAAGTAAGCAACTTATAGAGTGGGTTCAGACCAGGATGTGGCACAAAGGAAGGTATTTTTAATTTGAGAACAATCTGTGAACTTATCATATAGGTCCAACAAAATGTACATATACATGATTCGTAGATTACATTAAGGCTTTTTGAAAGGGTAAAACACATAAAGATGATGGAATTCTTGTGGGAGATAGGAATTGATGTGAAAGATCTACAGATCATCACAAAGATGTATTGGGAACAAACAGCAGTAGTAAGAACAGAACAGGGAATAACACCAGAGTTTAAGATCAAGAGAGGCATAAGACAAGGATGTGTATTATCATCTAGTTTGTTCAACCTACACAGAAAAAATATTTAGAGAAATAGAACATATAAGGGTAGTAGTGATCAGTGGAATTAACATCAACAACCTAAGATATGCAGATGAAACAGCACTACTAACTGTAAGTATATCAGATCTACAAGAGTTAGTAAATGAAGTAAATAAAAAAGAAAAAGACTATGAAATGGAGATGAATACTTAAAAGATGAAATCAATGGTAGTAACGAAGAACCAAGATATACCTAGAATCAATCTAACTATAGAGAGAAGATTTTACATATTTAGGACACATGAGCACTGAAGATGGTAAGAGCAAAGTGGAAATTCAAAGAAAATTGAAATAGCCATGAGTGTATTTAACAACATGTGAAAAATATTAACATCAAGAAACATTAATGTAACAACGTGGATGAGACTAGTCAAATGCTATGTGTGGTCAAAACTACTATATGGTGCTGAAACATGGACAATAGCTAAAGCAATTGCTAAAAGATTGAGGCAATTGAAATGTGAATCTATTGGAGA